AATGCCTTCGAGTCAATGAGTCGATGCAATCAACTGGTTTTCCAGAAAACTTTGAATCAATTTGAATGTATGATCTGGTTTTATTGTCTCTGTAAAATGCCTTGAGATGACATGTGTTGTGAATTGGCGCTACAGAAATAAACTGAATTGAATTGAAATGTAATAGTTTGTTGGTATCATTTCTGATCATATCTATAATAATTTCTACAATTTTTGATTGTTAAGAGTTTTTTTTCTGTCTTGTGGACCCCAGGAAGACTAGCTGGTCCCATTTTTGGTGAAAGCTAATTGAGATTTTTAACAATAAACAATAACATCAGGTAGAATCCACCAAAATAATTGCAAGAAAGTGCAAACCACAGATAAAAGAAGGTTGGCACCAAAACACCAATAACTTTTTCTACTTGTATCCATCCTATGTATTATTTCTGTTGAAATATGAAATATAATAACAACTGTTGGACGGCAGTATAGATCTCCTGCAGACTCCTGAGACATACAGTAGGTAAGAATAGTGTTCCAAGGTTTTGTGGGCACATTTAAGTAAATCCCGCTCAGTGAAGGTAGGAGTCTGGCTGGCTCCTACCTCCTACCTCCTGGCTCCTTCTGCCGACAGAAGCCAGCAGCGGGGTAAAAAGTACACACTCAGTGGAAATAGCATCGTGGAACAATGAAGAATATTGCATGGGTGTGTCTGAGAGGTCAGCAATGACAGAAAAGGCTTTAATGGAAAATACACTCTAAGACAAAGTTTAATTAGTCTGGATTTCAGATTGATAAAATAAAGCAAACTTCTCGAAATATCCACCATTTTAAGTAATCATGGACGACCGTGACCTAAAATAGCCAGTTCAAAGGTTTTCACCAATAACACAGGGAAGCCAGAACTAGGCTCTGATTTGAGATCCTAAGCTCTCTGTACAGGAATTAACATATTTATGTTAATTAAAAGAGAAACAAGGAATCAGCATGTAAATGATTTTTGTTTTCTGCTGTAAGATGCCTGTTTTAGAAGGTCTTCATTTTAGGCTTTCACATTAACATTATTGCTCTCAAAGCAATATTCTGAGAAGAAAGGTTTAATCCCCAACTCTGGCAAAGTTTAATTAAACGTAATAAGCCTTATTAAATAAAATGTTCAGTAAATTCTGTAAAAAATTGTTTATTGTTGTGTGAAATAAGGTTGGTCTTAAAATGTCTGATATTCAGAGATTTTCTTTACTGAATTTCTTTTATTTTCAAACAAATATGAACACATTTCTATAAACACTGCTTCTTACAGATTAATATTACACTAAGCTTTAGGTCTTACCCAAGTCAGAGACTTAGGTTGGATAAACTTCTTCCTTAAAGCAAAAAAATCAAACATTTTATTATTATTTAGAAAAGAAAAGAACCTGCATGAAATGTTTGGATGTCTGACCTTGCAACAAGGAGGTGGCTGTTGTGACCGTCTCTGGTACACCATCCGTGCTGTAGATTGACTGCAGGAATTCTGGAACGCAGTCATTCTCATCAACAATAACAACTCGTACCTGGAAAAGACGTAGATGGAGGAAAAAAAACAACACATATTACAGTCGGTGATGGTAAAATAATTACGACAAACAGTAGTGTAAATATAGAGTGATTTTTTTTTTCTTATTTTGAGGAAGAAAATGCAGTTTTTTGTTCATGTCAAGCTGGGTAGGGTAGCATGGAGAGATACAATAATTTATACTGGCAATATGTTTACCTTCATGGTACCAAAAACACCTAATGACATATAATCATGTTAGAAGTGAAGAGTTAAGTTTGGATTCCAGCTCAGGGACCTCATCCAGGATCTATCAAACCTCCTTACGTCTTTAAAACCACAAAGCAAAACCCAACGATCAGAGTGAACTAATCCCAGCCAAATCTGTCTACACTGTGGGGATCTGCAACCAAAGTAGATTGAATAACCAAACTCTGTGTGATATCAGATATCTGATTGTTCTTTATGTTTCTTAACAAAGCACTTCACTCTAAATCTGCAGGTTTACTAGTGGTTCCTAGAATTTCTAAAAGTAGAATGGGAGGCAGATCTTTTAGTTATCAGGCTCCTCTCCTGTGAAACCAACTACCAGTTTTAGTCCGTGAGGCAAACACCCTGTCTACTTTTAAGGCTAGGCTTAAAACTTTCCTTTTTGATAAAGCTTATAGTTAGAGTGGCTCAGGTTATCCTGAGCTATCTCTATAGTTATAGGCTTAGGCTGCTGGAGGACATAGGGACCCCTTTTCATCGTTCTGCTTCATTCTATAGTATCTCTATTCTCCCTTTGTGTAGAATTTGTAAGTTCAATCTCTTACACTTTTTAACTTAACAACTGGCTTGAAGCTCATCTGTTTAAAAGTTTCTTTTCCGGACGAAGCAACCTGTGGAACCTTATTTACCGTTATCTTTTCTAATAGAAAAGAATCAACATCTGCTGCCTCAGCTGCTCGTCAAGGAGATAATTCTGTGATATCAGTGACTAGATCAGCTGGTTTTCCTTAAATAGAAACTTTGAACCTGTAACCTGACTAGATGATCTGATTGATCTGGATCTATAAAGTGACCTGTGATGACATGATGTCAGTTGGTGCTTTAGAAATAAACTTTATTTAATTGAATTAAATCCTGACTGACATGGATTTAGAGAGGTGGGCTTAATGACTGACCGTTAAGTGAAATAACAAGCAAAGTGCACATTTTGATGTTGAATTTTCTAAAATAAGAGCCCTGTATATAATCTTAAATAGTTAAACTCACATAGTAGTTTGGCTTTGAAGTGGGACCTTAATGCTTTATTTACCTTTTCAAATATAAAGCTAGTATGATCCAGTTTCAGCCTTGTCATATTTTAAAACATTTCCATACATCAAGAAATTATTGTAATAACTGATAAAGTTCTGCTGTATTCTTGGTTTTCTATATTTTTTCCATGTGTTTTTTATTTTTCCAAATGTGGACAACAGTAACATTTCTGAACTTCCCAAAAAAGTTAAAAAACAATCCACTGGACTTTGTTTCCAAGTTTGAAGATATTTTGTATCCCATCCACGAAGCTTTTTCAATTCAAAATGTCATAAATAGCCTTGAGTTTATACAGTAGCCCACAAAAGCTTGTTTTTGTTAAGAAAACATGCTAATTGAAACAGAAGAACAGGTCCACCCTTCTGGAAGGTGGGTCGTTTGGCTTCTTCAGGCATTACAGGCTGACAAAAGAAGGCAAACGACCTGCATTCCAAAGGTGTAGACCTGCTTGTCCATTTTAAACTGAAAAAGCTTCCTGGATGGGAAGCAAAATGTCTTCAAAACTTGGAAAACAATTCCAGTGGATTGATTTTTAAGTTTTTTTGGAATGACTATCACATAGATGACTGAGAAACTTTACCAGCACATTGCCAAACTGATTTAATATCCTCCTTTGTCTGTGTGGATTATTCAGGTCGTCATCAACATGAGTCGAAAGGCCTGAATACAAATATTCTCAATGAGAAAAACAATGTTGTGTAAAAAACCTTTTCTGGTGAAGATGTTGGACTTTTGGGCATGATATTCTGCACTACAGACTCAGACCTGCCCTGGCAATCTCACATGCCTCTCTGAGATTAAAAGTCACTGTGGGGGTAGTGTTGGACATTTTTAATCAGGGATTACTTTAGCTGACACTGTTTAAAATTGGTTTTCTTTGCATCCAGAGTTTTAAAATAACCCAACTTAACCCTATCCGTAACCAAAAAGGAGCTTCATCTTCCTCCCTCTCCTCTGCAATGGCTTGATCCTGATCCCTGTGGTTTATCAACCCCCCCTCCCTTAGTTGGAAAGAGCTGCAGCACATCAGTAGGTCAGCACAGTTCCTCTGAAGCCTTGAGCTAACAAAAGACATGTGTAAAGATGACTTTATAGTGTGGAAGAGAGAGAGAGAGCTTTGCTGACATGCCGTAATGTTGCTCTGTTCATTAGAGACACGAAGGCCAACAAAGGCTTTTTCTAGCAGATGTCCACTGCTGGCCTGAAGTGCTTCAGTTCACACTCAGGAGAGTTACGTCTTTTCTCCCATTTAAACACACACACATATGACCGACCACGCTGATGCTACAACACACACACAGGCAGTGAGTGGTTGGTAAATACTACTGGTATTAAGTCCGGGTGGGTGAGATGAAATTCTGTAATATCAGTTAATCCTTCAGCAAAGATCAGCTTCCAAGCAACAGACGGAAAGAAATAAATTGTGACCATGTCAGCTCCCTGAAGTGATTTGTGCACATGTGCCAGTTACTGTCTGTGTGTGTGTGTGCGTGTGTGGGGGGGTTAAGTAGTGAATGGGAAGCAGAGATATACACATGTGCCTATGTGATTATTTCCTGAACAGCCCACGTGTTTCATGCCTTTCTGCAGATGATGATTAAAGCTGAGCTTTGTGCCAAACTGATGTCACTCAGAGGTTCAAACCAGACCTTAACATGCTGTCATCACATCTGACCAATCATCTCCTCCCGTTAGGACAACTATATGTCAGAATAATATATTTCTTTTTAAGATTATTCTAAAATAGCTGTTTGCAAATCCAGAAGGTTACATATATTTCCAAATCATTGGGGAGAATTGTAATTTAAACTGTAAGAATGGTAGTTAAGGGGAATAATTTGGGTTTTTAGAGGAAAGTCCAAGTGTAGAATTAAAGTCGCTTATCTAAAAGACCAGATCTGATCCAAAATCATAAGGTTTTCATACACTGTTCAGTATTTGGAAATGTCTGTTCTTGGATCAATGTAAGGTTGTCCAGTTTGCTCCTGCTGTGATGTTTCTGAAACAGCAGTATAGCCAGGTTGCATATCCACTTCACCTTTTTTTTTCTTCTGGTGCTTCTGTGTCGTTGTTTAAAGCTCTTCTGTCATTCAGCACACACTCTCTGGTAGCTGGAATCTCTTATTGTTGCTGCTCTCTTTCAGGGTTTTTCAAAGGAGTACTTTGAAAAAAAGGCCATTGAGAGTTCTTGGCCATTGAGAGTTCTTGGACAAAATGTAAGGATGTCGTCTTGGAGGCTGCTGACAAAGGGCCCTTTAAACAAGAAAATCTGCTCCCTACAGACAAACACACACACACACACACATCTGCTGCCTTTTTATACTGGAACTGATCTCAGCCCACAGCAATGATCTGCTCTAAACAAGTTATTCGACACAGAAAAGTATCTACTACGACTTATTTAAAGAGACCATAATGCTATTATTTAATAAATAATAAATATTCTCCTACTCATCGTCTGCCACCTCATCCAGAACCAGGACTTTAGGGCTGCAGAGAGTCCCAGACTTTCCTCTAGGCCTGGGTGATAAACTGAATATATGCCGTGACCACTACGATAACACACTGTGTTATACAGTAACAATTTGAACCTCAGTCGGCCTTGGCAGATGGCCGCTCACACTGAGCCTGGTTCTGCTGGAGGTTTCTTCCTGTTAAAAGGGAGTATTTCCTCTCCACTGTCGCTACAAGCATGCTTGGTGTGAGGGACTGCCTTCGAGTCTACGAGTCGATGCAATCAACTGGTTTTCCTTAGATAGAAAACTTTTAATTAATTTGACTGGATGATGGATGGATAATTTATGGTGAATGGGCCCAGAATTGTTGATAAACTTCCATCTTACCAAGGACAATAGCCTGAGGACAGCGCTCACAGACAAATGCACTCATCATCCACAAACAACTAATGTCTCAAATGTCAGATTGACTTCATGTGGCTCCAGCCTCCGATGTGACCCTCTGCTGAAATGTCTGTCTCGTGTTACATTCGCTTTTCTTGTGCTGAGGTATTTTTGATATCTCAAACTATATCCTATGAAGGATTTTTCTCCCCCTCTCTTCCCCAATGTGGCTCATATCTTTTTTACAGAGATAAAGGTAGTCATATAAGTAACCACCTGGGACCTGGGAAGCTAGGTAACCGGTAGGAACCTGGAAAGCTATAAGAATGCGCCGTAGGCAGCGTTCTGCGGCACACATGGCCCAGTAAAACTGTTCCCCCTCTGAGCCCCCCCATCCTAATGTATTGTGTTGAACGGTTTACACTGAAACTGAAATTTCGATTGCAATGTAAATTGTGTTTTATAATAAAGTTGATTGATATATTTCATTGATTGATTAAATAAGACAATCCTTGTTTGCATTCAAAACATGTTTAAGCTTAGATAGGGGATTAATAACTTAAGGGGGTTAGTGATGTTTGAAATTTACAAAGCCAGAATTAAGCTCAAGTACAGATGTGTGTCAGTTTTGGGTGCAAAATTATGGAATGGACTAAACAATAAAATAAAGATGTGTAACTCTCTATTAGTGTTCAAGAAGACTTTAAAATCTAAAATTATAAAAGGTTACAATGAAATTTGACTGAGTTTGATTTTTCAGTTTAACTATTATGTGTTTTGTAATTATGTGTTAGTTCCAATGTTTTATTGTGAACTATTCTTATGATTGTACAGGATAGGCAAGAATAAGCCTTGGGGCTTCAGCCTATTTCTTTTT